CGTAAATGTTTTAAATTTAAATTTAATTTCTGTAATTTATATAGAGCTATTCAGGTTATTTCTTCCTAAGGAAGCTTTGATTATGTCTCTCAAGGAATTTGTCTATTATATTTATGTTTTCAAATTTATTGGCATACAATTGCCATTATATCCCTTTATTATCATTTTACTCTCTACAGAATCTAACGTGATGTTACCTCTCTTATTCTAGCTATTGGTAGTTTCTGTCTTCTCTCTTTTTTTCACGACCATTCTAGCTGGAAGTTTAGCAACTGCATCACTCTTTTCAAAGCATCAGCTTTTGGTTTCACTGATCTTCATTGTCTCATTTTAATTTCATTGATTTCCACCTGATTTTTATGAATTCCTTTCTTCTGCTTTGAGTTTACTTTTCTCTGTTTTTTCTAATTTCATAAGGTGTACACCGAAGTCAAGGGTCTGAGAACTTTCTTCTTTCCTAGTAGAGACAGTGGTTTAAATGTGCTGTTTTAGTGGCATTTCATTAATTTCAGTATCTTGTGTTTCAATTTCCAATCACATCACTTAAAATTGTTTTATAGCTCACAAATACTTTTTCAGTTTTTCTTTTTCGTTTGTTTGTTTGTTTTGGAGAGTTCTGTTGCCCTGTGGTGAATTGCTCCGGTTTCGTCTTCTGCAATACAGATTCCCGTCCAGTGTATGTTTCATGCTATATGTTACAGGTCAGCGAGGGTCTTTTAAAACTATTTTTCCAGGTATTTACTTAAATTATTGAGCATGTGAGATACAGTTATCTATACAAATAAATATATGATGTCCTTGTCTGTACCCTTTCAGTTCTGGATCAGTTTCAATGGGCTGATTTTTCTCAATATGGTTTGTGGTTTCCCGATTCTTTGCATGCCTGGTAATCTTCGATTGGACGCGAGACATTGTGAATTCTACCTTGTTGGGTGTTGGATATTTTTACATCCTTGTAAGTATTCTTGAGCCTTGTTTTGTTATGTAGTTAAGTAACTTGGAGGCAGTCTGATTATGTGCATTTTGCCTTCCAGGTATGTGAGGCAGGACTAGAACACAGCTAAGCTTGCGGCTAGTTATTCCCATGGCAAGACCCTGCTGGGTCCCCTACCCAACATCTGATGAGGAATATCTGGTGTGACTCAACTGAAGCTTGCAAGGACTCCTTGGCGGGTCTGCAGAGTTTTCTGTCTGTGCAACCGTCTCCTCCTCCATCCTCCGTCCTGGGACCTCCAGCTGCCTGGGCCTCCCTGGACTCTCTCAGCAACTTCTCTACTCAGAGGGTCTGCCTGGGTTTTCCTGGAAACTTGTTCAAGGCAGTAATTCAGGCATTGTAGGATTCACTTCATTTATTTCTTGTGCCTCATGGACCACCGTCCTTGGCTGCCGGATATCCGGTGTCCGAGACCTGTGGTTTCGCGCACGTTGTCTGCTTGCTGGTCGTCCGAAGCAGGAGGGTTTATCCTGTCCCTGGCCCTCCATCTTGGCAGAAGTGGAAGCTTGCTTCATAAACTGCCCCTGGCTGTGGTCGGCTGCACCCGCTGTCCCTCCTGAGCGCCCATCCTTGGTACCACTGTGACTTCTGGGAACGTCCATGGCATTCACTCTCATGGAATCCCACCTAGATGAGACCGTGTGGGTGAAGGGAGCCACGCACAAGCTCTGCTGGCGCCTCCCTGCCTATTCTGCCCCTGGGGTGGTATCTGGGTGCGCATCCGGCTGTGCCTTTTCAGTTTCCAGAAGACCCCATGCCCCCCAGCTTAGACGGAGGCCGTAGGCAGCTATGCTTCTATGCAGGGGGCTATCGATCAAGCTGCGGCGGCACTCACGAAAGGCCACGTGCGTCGTCAGGAGGAACGTCTCACCAGTCCTGGGGTGGACTGGACCAGAGTGAGACCTATGGAGTCCCCTCCACCAAGTTCCAGAAGTGACTATCTGGGAGGCCTACCTGGCCCTGACCCCAGGCCTGCCAGCCCACCCCTCAGCCTAGAGGTCTCCCCTCCGGAGCATCCCTACTGCTTCAGGGCAGAGTGGAGTCAGGTGGCCTCTCATCTCATCTGTCCTGTGGATCTCCAGGGACCCAGCAATAACAGAGATCCGCTGCTTCCTGTCAGCAGCAAACTGGACGAGAGGGCGCACAGGCCGCCTGGCCTCAGACAGGAGCCAGGCTGCACAGCCGTGTCTGGTAAGTGTCGGCATAACCAGGCCCCGCTGACCTCCAAGTAGGCGCTAGCATATGACCAGTTTATCAGACCCAACGGGGCTGACGGGCTGAGTTTCCTGTCCGCTCCCCAGAAATCTGTTCAATATGCATTTTGGGGTCTACGGAACCCCGGTATCCCTCTCTGTGCTGAAGGGGCTCCCGCTCTTCTAACCCTGACCCCTGCTGCTTTGGCCAGTGCAGGTGTCGATGGCTAGAGCTGCCTCAAAGGAAGAGACAGACCCCACCTCTGTGTCCCTGCCACCACCTGCCCTCCAGGCGCACAGCAGCACAGAGCAGCCACCGCCCCTGCACCCCTGTGGCTTCGGAAGGCAGCAGAGCAATGAGGTGAAGGCAGAGGGCCGTGGTAAGGACTGGCCCAGTGCGGAGAGCCGGGCTGCTGCCAGGACCAGCCACCGCTGACGCTGCCTAGGAGAATTATAAAGGCTGCTCTTCCCCATCCTGCACCCCAGCCCTCCTGGAACAGGAGGGCACCCTGTTGTGAGACGGTCTTTCCGGGTCAGGGAAGAAGGCAGGACAACCACACAGAAGCCAGCCCCAGCACTGGAGAGGCAGTTGGGCCAAGCTGTGTGTGTGTGAGCGTCTGTTGGGGACGGGTGCAGAGAGCAGAACTGCTGGGATGGGGGGCTGCAGAAGTGGGCAGTGGAGGCAGGGGGCGAGGGAGCATTTGAGCTGTGACCTCTCGAGTCCACAGAGCAGGGAGGGGGCCTTTGGAAACCGAGGCCTTTGGAATTGCCACTCTGGTGGTGGCACCTGGCTCCTGGGTCTCCTGTCTGCACCCCCTCTTCTGCCCTCCCTGGAAGGCTCCCTGCTGAGTCCTGGCCGGGTCCCAGAGCGTGGGCCTGAAGAGCGAGCAAGACACACACGGCAGGCAGCCACCCAGCACCCCGCACACACACGCATGCCAGGGCGTGGGGTGCGTCTGTGCAGGCTCTCATGCACCTGCCGAGGCAGAGACAGTGGAGACAGCTGGGCAGAGACTGAGCGAACTAGAGGTCGAGGCGAGGTCAGAGGCAGGAGAGGAAGGCCACAGGCTGGGGCCGCAGGAGGCAGTGGCTCCAGGTGACATGTTGCAGGGACACAGGTGCAGGAGGGCTCAGTGTGCACGTCTGCCTGGCAGGGAGGCCCACACCAGCCCTGCTGGCCTCACTCACTGCACCCCGAACCCCAGGGGCCCCACGGCCTGTGGGTGGTATTAAAGCTGGGCGCTCGGGAAGCCCAAACACTACTTTGCAGCTGTCCAGGGGCCGGATCAGGCCTGGAGGGGGACATGTCAGCATTAACGGTGTTCCCAGGGCCTAGAAGGCATCGTGGGCATCTAACCCAACTTGCTGATCTTTGTTTTGGAGAGGTTTTTGCTATAGGGTGCGTGCGCTCGCCAGAGAGACAGAGAGAGACAGAGAGACAGAAAGCGAGAAATCACCCCCCAGGGGAATGGTCACACCGCAATCCCTTCTCCTCCATTCTCCTCTCGGGATCTTGGGCATGCACGCACACATGCCCGGCGTGAGTTTAAGCCACCGGTTCTGGGACGTGAACCGCGGTCGACTATGTGGAAGTCCAGCGACATAGCCATTACGTTAACTGCTGGTCCCCTCCAACTTGC